AGCGTCTGCCTTCAGCTCAGGTCATGATCCCAGGGTCCTGGGATCGAGCCCCACATTGGGCTCCCTGCTCTGCAGGAAGCCCGCTTCTCCCTCTCCCACTCTCCCTGCTTGTGTTCCCTCTCTCACTGTGTCTCTCTCTGTCAAATAAATCAATAAAATCTTAAAAAAAAAAAAAATAGAAGACCAGAAGTGAGCACTGCAACTTGACACATGGACAGCTAAACAAACAGCCACCCCAGGTGCTGTGGGAGGGCACAAATAGCCAGTTCACAGAAATCATGCTTAAATGAGTTGTAGGTGCCAAAACCATGCCATATGGAAAAAACCATAGGGATATGACTATACAGGAGATACAGGAGTTCTTGCTCAGAGATAAAGATTCTGGATAATAGGGGGCGCCTGCATCGCTCAGTTGGTTGAGCGGCTGCCTTTGGCTCGGGTCATGATCCTGGGGTCCTGGGATCGAGCCCCACATCGGGCTCCTTGCTCCATGGGAAGCCTGCTTCTCCCTCTCCCCTCCAAAAAAAAAAAGATTCTGGATAATAGGAAAGGGGATCAAACAAATGTTCCCTTTGACCTGGTGTTATTTTCTCTGAGATAATGTGCTTGTCTTCCCAAGAGCTTCTGTAAAAGTAAATGTGGGCTCTCAGGAAACTAGGAAAAAGAGAGGGGCCTTCCTCTTGATAAAGAATATCTACAAAAAGCCTTTATCATACTTAATGGTGAGAAACTCAAAATTTTCCCACTAAGATCAGATACAAGGCAGAAATGACCCCTCTCAACTACTCCTTTTCTTTTCGAAGATTTACTTTACTTATTTTAGAAAGAGAGAGAGTGCGGGGGGGAAGGGACAGAATGAGAGGAGAGAGAAACACCAGCAGATTCCGTGCTAAGTGAGGAGCCCAAAGCAGGGCTCAATCTCATGACCAACCATGAAATCAGACCTGAGCTGAAACCAAGAGTTGGACACTCAACAGACTGTGCCACCCAGGTGCCCCTCAACTACTGCTTTTCAACATCATATTAGAAGTTCTAGCTAATGCAACAAGACAAGAAAAAGCAATAAAAGATACAAATATTGGGAAGAAAGAAGTAAAACTGTCTTTGTTCACAGGTGACACAACTGTCCATGTAGATAACCCCAAAGAACTGACAAAACAAAAAGATTCCTGGAACTAATAAGCAATCCATAGCAAGGTTGAGATGCAAAGTTAATATACAAAAGTTAATTGCTTTCCTATATACCAGTAACGAACAAATGGAATTTGGAATTGAAAGCATAATACCATTTACATTAGCACCCCCAAAAATGAAATACCCAGATATAAATAAAAAATATATACAATGTCAATATGAAGAAAACTGCAAAACTCTGATGAACAAAATCAAAGAACTACATAAATGGAGGGATATTCCATTTTCATGGATAGGGAGATTCAATATTGTCAAAATATCAGTTCTTCCAGGGCATCTGGGTGGCTTAGTCAGTGAAGTGTCTGCCTTCGGCTCAAGTCATGATCTCCAGGTCCTGGGATCGAGCCCCACGTCGGGCTCCCTGCTCAGCGGGGAACCTGCTTCTCCTCCCTCTGCCTCTCCCCCTGCTTGTGCTCTGTCTCTCTCTCAAATGAGTAAATAAAATCTTTTTTTAAAAATGTCAGTTCTTCCCAACTTGATCTATAGATTCAAAGCACCCCTAACCAAAATCCCAGCAGGTTATTTTGTGGATTTCAACAAACTGATTCTAAAGTTTACATGAAGAGACAAAAGACCTAGAATAGCCAACACAATATTAAAGGAGAACAAGGTTGGAGGAATGACATTACTGGACTTCAAGACTTACTATAAAGCTACAGTAATCAAGACAAAATTATATTGGTGAAGGAACTGACAAACAGATCAATGGAACAGAAGAGAGGGCCCAGAAACAGACCCATGTAAATACAGCCAATTTATCTTTGACAAAGGAGCAGGGGCAATACAATGAAGCAAAAACAGTCTTTTCAACAAACGGTACAGAAACAACTGGACTTAGACGTGCAAAAAAAAAAAAAAAGAATCTAGACACAGATCTTACGTTCTTCATAAAAATTAACTCATAATGGACTACTGACCTAAATGTAAAACACAAAACAATAAAACTCCTTGACAATAACATAGGTGAAAACTCAGATGACCTTGGGTTGATACAACACAAAAGCATGATCCACGAAAGAAAAATTTGATGAGCTGGACTTCATTAAAATTAAAAACTTTTGCTTTCCAAAGAAATGTAAAGAGAATGAAAAGACAAGCCACAGAGTGTGAGAAAATATTTGCAAAAGACACATTTGATAAAAGATTGTTATCTGAAATATACGAGGAATTCTTAAAACTCAACAAGAAAACAATCCAATTAAAAAAATGGACAAAAAACACCTCAGCAAAAATATACAGATGGCAAATAAGCATATGAAAAGATGCTCCACATCATGTCATCAGAGAATACAAATTAAAACAACAAGATACCACTACACACCTATTAGAATGACCAAAATCCACATGAAAAACTAATGATGTAATGTATGGTGATTAACAATAAAAAAATAAAAATAAGAAGGTAGATTAGGGCCATGTAGAAAGGCCTTAAATGCCAGGCAAAGGAGACTGGAATCTACTCTTAAAATAGCAAACACCCTATGACTTCATTGATATTTTAAATTTTCCTATAATACTTTGTAGTGCCTGAGATTTTATTAAAAGTCACCTATCAAATCATTAAAAAAAAAAAAAGAATGACCAAAATCCAGAACACTATCAACACCAAATGCTGGTAAGGATGTGGAGCAACAGACACTCTCATTCTTTGCTATTGGGATTGCACAAGAGTACAGCCACTCTGGAAGACAGTTTGGCAGTTTCTTACAAAACTAAACATAGTCTTATCATATGATCCAGCAATTGCAATCCTTGGTATTTATCCAAAGGAGCTGAAAACTTAGGTCCATACAAAAACCTGCACATGGAAATTTATAGTAGTTTTATTCATAACTGCCAAAATTTGGAAGCAACCAAGATGTCCCTCTTAGAAATGGATAAATTGTACATCCAGATGATGGAATGTTATTCAGCACTAAAAAGAAATGAGCTATCGCCAAACTATGGGAAGAGCCAAGATGTCCATCAACAGATGAATGGATAAAGAAGATGTGCCATATATATATGTACACACACACAATGGAATATTATGCAGCCATAAAAAACCCAAAATCTTGCCATTTGCAACAATGTGGATAGAACTAAAGGGTATTATGCTAAGCGAAATAGGTCAATCAAAGAAAGACAAGTATCATATGATCTCACTTATGTGAGGAACTCTTAATCTCAGGAAACAAACTGAGGGTTGCTGGAGTGGTGGGGGTGGGAGGGATGGGGTGGCTGGATGGTGATGGACATTGGGGAGGGTATGTGCTACGGTGAACGCTGTGAACTGTGTAAGACTGATGAATCACAGACCTGTACCTCTGAAACAAATAATACATTATATGTTAAAAAAAAAAAAAAAAGAAGATAGTAGGAAGGGAAAAATGAAGGGGGGAAATGGGAGGGGGAGATGAACCATGAGAGACTATGGAGTCTGAGAAAGAAACTGAGGGTTTTAGAGGGAAGGGGGTGAGGGGATGGGTTAGCCCGGTGATGGGTATTAAGGAGGGCATGTATTGAATGGAGCAGTGGGTGTTATACGAAAACAATGAATCATGGAACACTACATGAAAAACTAATGATGTGGGGCGCCTGGGTGGCTCAGTCGTTAAGCGTTTGCCTTCGGCTAAGTCATGATCCCAGGGTCCTGGGATCGAGCCCCGCATCGGGCTCCCTGCTCCACGGGAAGCCTGCTTCCCCCCCTCACTCCCCCTGTTTGTGTTCCCTCTCTCACTGTGTCTCTCTCTGTCAAATAAATAAAATCTTTAAAAAAAAAAAAACCAAAAAACCAAAAAACTAATGATGTAATGTATGGTGACTAACATAAAAAAAAAAAAAAGAAAGAAATGAGCTATGTATCAAACCATAAAAGATATGAAGGGACCAGGCGCCTGGGTGGCTCAGTTGGTTAAGTGACTGTCTTCGGCTCAGGTCATGATCCTGGAGTCCCTGGATCGAGTCCCGCATCGGGCATCGGGCTCCATGCTCAGCAGGGAGTCTGCTTCTCCTTCTGACCCTCCCCCCTCTCATGTGCTTTCTCTCTCTCTCTCAAATAAATAAAATCTTAAAAAAAAAAGATATGAAGGGACCTTAACTGCATATTACTAAGTAAAAGAAGCCAATCTGAAAGGGCTATATACTATATGACTTCAATTACATGACATTCTGGAAAAGGAAAAACTATGAAGATAGTAAAAAGTTGCTGGGGGTGAGGGTAGATGGGCGTCTGGATGGGTGCCCAGGTGGTGCAGTCGGTTGAACGTCCAACTCTTGGTTTCTGCTCAGGCCACGATCTTGGGGTCATGGGATCAAGCCCTGCATTGGGCTCCACGCTCTGCATACAGTCAGCTTGAGATTCTCTCTCCCTCTCCTTCTGCCCCTCCCACTCATGCTCTCTCTCTCGCTCTCTCTCTCAAATAAATAAATCTTTAAAACAAAAAAAAAAGTTGCCGGGGGAGGAGATGAGCTAAACAGGGAGAGCACAAGATTTTTAGAGCAGCGAAAATACTCTGTATGATACCATAATGGATACATGTCCATAGAAGGTACAATACTGAGAGTGAACCCTAGTGTAAACTATGGACTTTAAGTGAGTATGATGTGTTGATGTGGATTCACTGTAACAGATGTATCACTCTGGTGAGGGATGTTAATAGTGGGAGAGACTAAGCATGCATGGGGGGAGAGATACAATCACTGTATCTTCCCCTTAATTTTGTGCTATGAACCTAACTAAAACTGCTCTCAAAAAATTAAGTCTTCATAAAAGAAAATCAAATAAATGAAGGCATTTTCTTTAGACATGTACTTCCTTGTCTCACCATGCTTCTCGGCTCTAATGTACTTGGCCCTCATCTCCTGCTGCTGATGCACATAGGTCCTCCAGGTCTGGAACATCAGGTTGTACAAGTAATATCTGAGGAGGCAAAAAAAAAAAAAAGGCAAATGGCATTTCTTTCTTTCTTTCCTTTTTTTTTTTTTAAAGATTTTATTTACTTATTTGACAGATAGAGAGAGCAAGAAAGAGAGAGTGAGCTCACAAGCAGGGAGAGTGGCAAGTAGAGGGAGAGGGAGAAGCAGGCTCCCCACTTGGGCAGAGAGCCCGATGTGGGGCTCGATCCCAGGACCCCGGGATCATGACCCGAGCCGAAGGCAGTTGCTTAACCAACTGAGACACCCAGGTGCCCCTACTTTCTTTATTTTTTAAGGTTTATTTATTTATTGGGGCGCCTGGGTGGCTCAGTCAGTTAAGTGTCTGCCTTCGGCTCGGGTCATGATCCCAGCGTCCTGGGATCGACCCCCGCATTGGGCTCCGTGTTCAGTGGGGAGCCTGCTTCTCCCTCTCCCTGTCTGCCTACTTTGTGATCTCTCTCTCTCTGTCAAATAAAATCTTTAAAAATAAATAAATAAAATTTATTTATTTATAATCTCTACACCCAACGTGGGGTTTGAACTCACAAACCAGAGATCGAGTCACATGCTCCACAGACTGAGCCAGTCAGGTGCCCCAAATGGCATTTCTTTAAACCAAAAAAACTCCTAATTCAATATAACTAGTCCATTCTGTACTCAGAAATTAACATGGATGCTTGATACAAAAAAATCCGATCTTAAGCTAAAATCTTATTTCACATAGTCACAGTGAAATCTACTCTCCTTGATGGAGAGTCATTCTCCTCACTTTACAGTACCATTAAGGAAAAATAGGCTTGAATTACCTGAGAATAACTTCACCTTCAGCATTCACAGAGCTGTGACATTTGGAGTGACAGTCATATCTTTATCACCTTAATCATCCACATTATGTAAAACATTACCTCTCCTCTGCACTAAACATGGTCAATGACACCTTTCCTTTGTCTTTTCCTTCTCAATACATACATTATACACATTAAGACTGTCAGTCCCTCCGTATTTTCACTATCCTATTTCCTAAGACTTGATTTCATACTCTACAAGCTTATTAAAATGATTCAACATTGTCTTTATCTTATCTGAAATATCCACAAATCAGAAACCCTGACCCAAAGAACCTAAATAAAGAAGTGATTATGAGAGTAAATGCTATTTTTAAAAGATACACTGTATAAGATACATTAATTTTTTTATTGTATAAAAAAGGTATAAAATGTGTTTTGATATAATTCCAATTTTTACTTTTTCCTCTACTTATCACTGGGAGTACTAATGTCAAGATTTAGTTTTTTCTCTATTTCTATTTTCTTAATGTCCCATATTGGGCATATATTTTCTCCTATAATGAATAAAAATTAAAACAACCTATTATTTTAAAAAAACAGAACACTCTCAGAATTAGAAATTATACAGAAGTGAGAGTCAGTGAGAAAACCCTATTCATATCATTAATATGACCAATACATAATGGTTACTTAAAGAGGTGTCTCTATGTGTGTGTGTCCACATGCACATGTGCTTGGGTTTAATTTAGGACTTTGATCTTACTTATTCTAAAAAGAATTTGAAGAAAAACAGAATAGGATTCAAAACTCTTCTCTAAATCAATGTGATCCATCACATTAACAGAATGAAAGAAAAGAATCACAGGGTCACCTCAAAAGACACAGAAAAAGCATTTGACAAAACTCAACAACCACTCATGATAACGACATTTAACAAATTACGGATAGACCAAACATATCTCAATATAATAAAGGCGATATATGACAAGCCTACAGCTAACATCATACGCAAAGAAGAAAGGCTGAGAGCTTTTCCTCTAAGATCAGGAACAATACAAAAGTGTCCACTCTTACCACTCGTATTCAACATAATACTGGAAGTCCTAGTCAAAGCAATCAGGCAAGAAAAACAAACAAAAGGCATCAGAATGGGAAACTGTGAAAAGTGAAAAGTGAAATTGTCTCTATTTGTAAGTGACATGATTTTATACATAGAAAATCCTACAGACTCAGCCCCAAAACTATTATATTTAATAAAAAATTCAGTCAACTTTGCAGGATACAAAATCAACACACAGAAATCAGTAGCATTTCCATATACGAACAGTGAACTATCTGAAAAACAAATAAATCAATTCCATTTACAACAGCATCAAAAACAATAAAATATTCTATAATAAATTTAACGGAGGTGAAAGATCTCTATTCTGGAAACTACACAACACTGACAAAAGAAATCGAAGACACAAATAAATGGAAAGTTATCCCACATTCATGGATTGGAAGATTAATTATTAAAATGTTACTAAATTATGTAACTTAATTACATAATTAAATGTTAATTAATATTGCTAAAATATTATTAAAACAATACTACCAAAAGCCATCTATAGATTCAATGTAAGCCCTATCAAGATTCCAATGGCATTTTCTACAGAACAATCCTAAAATTTCCATGGACCCACAAAAGACCCAAAATATCCAAAGCAATTCTGAGAAAGAAGAACAAAGCAGGAGGCATCACACTTCCTGATTTAAAGCTATACTATAAAGCTATATTAGTCAAAGCAGTATGTACTGGCATAAAAACACACCAGTGAGGGATGTCTGGGGGGCTCAATCAGTTAAGCGTCTGCTTTCAGCTCAGGTCGTGATCCCAGGGTTCTGGGATTGAGTCCTGCATCGGGCTCCCTGCTCAGCAGGGAGCCTGCTTCTCCCTCCGCCTGCTGTTCTCTCACTGTCTCTCTGACAAAAAAACAAAATAAAATCTTAAAAAAAAAAATCTTACTTTATTAAAAAAAAAAAAGAAGAAAAACACACCAATGGACAGGAACAAACCCAAGTATATATGGTCAACTAATATTTGACAAAGGAGCCAAGACTACTCAATGGAGAAATGACAATCTCCTTGAAAAATGGTGCTGGGAAAATTCAATATTCACGTGTAAAAGAATGATACTAGACCCCATCTTAAACCACTCACAAAAATTAACTCGCAGTGGATTAAAGACTTAAATATAAGACCTGAAACCATGAAACTCCTAAAAGAAAAAACAGGAAGAGCTCCTTCACATGGGTCTTAGCAATGATTTTTTTGAAATGACACCTAAAGCACAAGCAACAAAACAGAACATAAACAAATGGGACTACACCAAACCAAAAAACTTCTGCACAGCAAAAGAAACAATCAACAAAGTGAAAAGGATAATCTATGGAATGGGAAAAAAATATCTGCAAACCATATATTTGATAAAGGGTTAATATCCAAAATATATAAAGAACTCATACCACTCAATGGCAAAAAAAAACCCCAAATAATTCAATTAAAAAATAGGCAAAGAAACTGAATAGATATTTTTCCAAAGAAAATATATGAAAGGCCAACAGGTTCATTAAAAGATGTTCAACATCACTAGTCATTAGGGAAATGTAAATCAAAACCACAATGAGCTATCACCTCACACCTGTTAGCATGACCATCATCAAAAAGATAAGAGATATCAAATGCTGGTGTGAATGTAGAGAAAGGGACCCTTGTGCACTGTTGATGGGACTGTAAATTGCTACAGCTACTATGGAAAACAGTACGGAGGATCCACAAAAAATTAAAAGTAAAACTACCAAAGATCTCTATTCTGAAAACTTCAATTTTCACTTCTGGGAATATACCCAATGTAAATGAAAACACTAACTTGAAAAGATATTTGTACCCCTATGTTCCCAGCAGCACTATTTACAACAGCCAAGACATGGAAACAACCTAAGTGTCCATGGATGGGTGAATGGATAAAGCTGTGGCAGATTTATACAATGGGATAAAAAGCAAAGAAATCCTGCCATTTGTGGCAGCATGGATGAACCCTGAAGGCATTATACTGAGTGATTAAGTCAGACAAAGACAAATACTGCATGATCTTACTCATATGTGGAATCTAAGAGCAAACACAAAAAACTCATAGAAAAGGATCAGATTTGTGTTTACGGGAGGCAGGGGTGGGAGAGGGAATTGGAGGAAAGTGGTCAAAAGGTACAAACATCTAATTATAAAATAGAGAAGTACTGGAGATGATATGTACAACATGATGCCTATAGTTACCACTACCGTATGATATGTATGAAAGTTGTTAAGAGAATAAATCCTAAGACTCTCCATTATATCTAAAAAAAAAAAAAAGGTTTTTTTTTATTTTATTTATTTCAGAGAAAGACAAAGGGAACCTGAGTGGGGGGAGGGGCAGGAGAGGGGACAGACTCCCTGCTGAGTGGGAAGCCCAATGCAGGTCAGATCCCAGGACCCTGATATCATGACCTGAGCTTAACCAACTGAGCCACCCAGCTTCTTTTTTTCCCATTTCTTTTTATCTGTAGGAGATGATGGACGTTAACTAAACTTACCATGGTAATCATTTTACAAGTCAAACCTTTATGCTGTACATCAAAGACTCATACAGTGATATATGTCAATTATATCTCAATAAAACTGGGGGCAAAAAACTTTTGTCTTCTGGGGTGCCTGGGTGGCTCAATCAGTTGAGCGTCCAACTCTTGACTTTGACTCAGGTCATGATCTCAGGGTCATGGGATGGGGCCCCATGTCAGGCTCCCTGATCAGTGGGGAGTCTGCTTGAGATTCCCTCTCTCTCTGCCCCTCCCCCTGCTCACACTTTATCTCTCTCCCTCAAATAAATAAGTGAATCTTTGGAAAACAAACAAACAACAAAAATACTTTCTTCTTTTGACCAGAAACGTGCTAACAAGTAACTATTTAATAATGTGTATCAGTAAAATTAAATATAACATGAAACCTGACCTGTAGTGACAGTCTGCTCGAACACAGAGTTTCCACTCTCGCTGGAAAACCCACCACTCTTCTTTCCATTCTTCAAAGACCTTCCGAAGTATTCTTTGCTCACAGTAAAACCTTCAGCAATGAACAAAAATCAGAGAGATCTGTGATGATGTGGGAGCTGATATTTATTTCCAAATTAGTTTCATATTGCCTTTACTTTCTCATAGAAAAGCGTGGCTCATTTTTGTTTTTAAGATTTTATTTATTTGACAGAGAGAGACACAGCGAGAGAGGGAACACAAGCGGGAGGAGTGGGGGAGGGAGAAGCAGGCTTCCCACCGAGCAGGACTGCTTAACTGACTGAGCTACCCAGGTGTCCCCTTAGCTAGTTTGGTATACTGGAAACCTTTTCAGGCTTTTAATATGTATATCCATTTATATATGTACATACAGTGCATGCATATACACGTAGATAAGTTTTTACATATGTATACAAATATGTGTGCATACATTACTATACATATGTAAATATATTTAAATTGAGAATGTATTATGTTAATTCCAACATGGGTAGTGGAAATACAAAAAAATTAATTTTTAAAAAATGGTGTCATACATACTATGAGGTAGCTTTATCTTTTTACCTAACACCTTCTCTGGAACATCTCTCCATTTCAGTATCACTTAGCTCTACTTCATAAAAAAAGACTAGGTGGCATTGATTGAATTTAACCTATCCCCTTTTGAGGGGCATTTGTTGTAATTTTCTCTCTCTCTTTTTTATTATGAACAACAGTGAAGTGAATTTCCTCATGTATATTTTTGCTGGCTAGTCTTTTAGAAACCATGAGTGCTGAGAAGAACATGTTAGTAACCTGCAGAACCATGAATAGAAATTCAAAGCGACTGGCAGGCACAGAGTTCTTATCAGTCACCTTGAACAGTGCCTGTTAGCATCAACACAATCTGCCATTGCTCTTGTTTTCTTTATATCACCTTTGGCCCCTCTTTATTTCCTCTACCTACCTTTGGCTGTTTTTATAACTCCTCTGACCAGATTTCAGTTAAACTAATATGCTCTGTTCCTCTAAGTACTAGGAATACCATTAGGCATTTGCTTATAATTTTTAATCTCCTGTATATGTAAATGGGAAGTGTAGCTACCACTTTTTACTAATCAAAAATATTTTTAGTCTGATGAAGGGAAAAAAAAAACTGGAGAATAATTCTCAACTCGCTTATGGTATTTGGAAAGTCAGATTTTGAATTTTACTTTAACCTCTTTAATTGGTATAGCATAACATTTTTTAGCTTTCTTTCTAATTTAAGTAGTTCTGATCTGAAAAATATGTTTTTATTCTCCTCTGGTATTGTCAAATAATGAGCCACGGGGGCACCTGGGTGGCTCAGTCATTAAGCGTCTGCCTTCAGCTTGGGTCATGATCCCAGGGTCCTGGGATCGAGCCCCGCATCAGGCTCCCTGCTCAGCAGGGAGCCTGCTTTTCCCTCTCCCTCTGCTTGCTATTCCCTCTGCTTGTGCTGTCAAATAAATAAAATCTTAAAAAAAATTTTTTTTAGATGTTAGAGAGCAGGCAGGCGAGTGGCAACTGAACCAACAGATCAGAGAAAGCAGAGGAACAACTAAGGGTCCTGTGCTGAGGGTATCAAGGAGCAACCAGCTGGTGGCACAGACATCAGAAAGGCGGGGAACATGAGGCATCAGGAACAGGGGAACCCCGGCTGGAGATGAAAACATAGGATTGTTGGCAAGCTTGGGCATAAGCAGTTAGGTCCCTAGGTCCTGTTATTCACCCAAGCAGAGACTCAGGTTTCTCCCTGGAGAGGCTGAACAGAGGGCCACTGGACTGCAGGATACCAGGCAGAGCTCTGGAGAGGGTCTTCAACAGAGTCCACATACTCAACAGTGAGACCCCCCCATTCCCTCTCCTCTGCCTACAGCCAAGCTTATAACCACCACCACCCACCTCCAAGCCGCTCAATCCTAGAAGGAGTTTGGAGGATTGTTCTCCTCTGGGGAAAACTGATCAACCTAAGGGAAAGGCTTTTATTATTATTTTTTAAAGATTTTATTTATTTGAGAGAGAGTACACAAGCAGGGGGAGTGGCAGAGGGAGAGAGAGCAGCAGACTCCCCGCTGAGCAGGGAGCCTGATGCAGGGCTTGATCCCAGCACTTTGGGATCGTGACTAAGCCCAAGCAGACGCTTAACCTACTGAGCCACTCAGGTGCCCCCTGGGAAAAGGCTTTTAGATACTGACAGCTGGAGGTTCCCCAGTGAAACTGTCTGGTCTCTGCCTCAAAACCAAAGTAAAGCTTTCAATTTACAAGTCCCTGTGCATACACAGAAAAGCTTCCAAAATCAGCATTTTAGTGCCTAACTCTTAAATATGAACAGACAATAAAAAGATCTTTTCACATTTAGGGAAAGGTTCCCATATGAGACAGTGACCAAAAGCAGAGAGAAAAGGGGGGCTAAGAAACAGACAATATAAGCAAAAATCTTAAAAACAAATTGCTACATTAACCTCAAAAAATTATGATATAGTAACCTTAACGAAAACAATTTTGGTGGAGGAGTAGAATCTAAAGACTAGTGGGATGGATTTAAGAGAGACTACAATATGTGTTGGAGACAGAGTATGGCCAGGGGAGTTGATGTAAAGGGGAGCCAAGAGATGGAGCCAAGAGATCCTAGCTGCAGGAGGACGTATGGTCAAAGAGATATTTTTCAGCGTGAGAGAAATAAGGGTATATGCTGGTGCAAATGATCCAGTAAATGGCAAAAAACTGATGCAGAAAAGAGAAAAAAAACTGCTAGAGTAATACCCTTGAGTAGGCACAAAGGAAACAGTGCAAAAGCCAAGGATTTTGCCGCAGATGAGAGCAAGGACAGTTCACCTGCCTAATGGCAGAGAAAGCAGCTTGCACGCTGACAGATGTTGGCGGTGCGTGGATGTCAGGGAGGGAGCCTGTGCGGGTTTCCTCTGTTTCTTTTTTTTTTAAGACTTTATTTATTTATTTGAGAGACAGAGTGAGAGAGAAAGCACACGAGCAGGGGCAGAGGGAGAGGGAGAAGCAGACTCCCTGCTGAACAGGAAGCCCGATGCTGGGCTCCATCCCAGGACCCTGAGATCATGACCTGAGTAGAAGGTAGACGCTTAACCAACTGAGCCACCCAGGTGCCCCTCTTCTGTTGTTTCTATCAAGAAAATAGGAAGCAAGGCCATTAACTAAGAATGAGGAAGAAATCTTGATGAATTAAATACTATAGAAAGACCTGACTGCTTTACCTACTTCTCAAGTTAACCAAAAAAACTTTGTTCAGATCTTCTCTTCAGGAAAATAGGTGACTACCTCATATTTAAGACTACCTTATATATGGACATATACTGCATTATTTTTGCCCTACTAATTCGATGGTCATTTTGACTCAGTTTACTAATGATAAAACAATGCCATTTTATAAAAGTTAAAACAATCTCCAAGAACATAAAGGCATTATTCTACATTTTCTGGTATGAATTAATTCTCCTCTAATATTCCTAAAAGTGAGGAATAAATAACATGAAAAAAGACCAAAACAAACAAAAAAGCCAACATCAATATGTCTAATCTTCCCCAAAGTAACAAACAACCCACTTGATTTAAAAAGAGATCACAACTTGGGGAAAAAAAAAAAAATCCTAAATTTCTAAGTCAACACAGTATCAGAATTCTAATTCTGGTAGATGCTTAGAGAATAAGCAGTATTCTTATTCTCTCATTTTACAATTTGAGAAACTCAGGCCCAGAACCATAACTTATCCCAAGATCAAACAATTAGCTAGGGTCTGGGCTAGGACCAAAACGCAGGTCTCTGAAATTCCAGTCCAGTACCTTTCCTCCAGACCCTGCTACCAGTCAAGAGCAAAGAAAGTAAAGATTATAAGGGGATGATTTTAAAGCAGTATGGCAGACATCGGTCACCGGCTAACCCAACACCCACTGTCAGGCCTCGGCCTCCTCACGGGCACCTGCTGCAGAGGCGGCTGGGAAAGCTTTCTTTCCCAGTCTCCTCTGTGGCAAAAGGCAGTCAGTGACACAGCTCTGGACAATGAGGCAGAGCAGAATGCAGCTGAGGGTTTCCAGTAAAGTTTTGTTTCCCTAAGTAAAAGACAGATATGACACCACGCTTCCCTACTCCTTCCTGTGTAAAACAGAACAGTCGTTTTGCAACTATGCAGTGTCATCTCTGAGGACAAAGGGACATATGTTAAAAAAGGTGAACTCGGAAGGTACTGAAAGCCTGAGTCTTTGATGGCCTCCCTGAACAGCTAAACTAAGACCAACCTCCAAACTGCTTATGAGAAAAAGCAAATCCCAATTTGTTAAAGCCACTGTCAGACTTTCTCTTAGAGTCAAATGCATTTCTAATATAATCAGCATTTCCCAAATATTGGGACTATAAATGGGTATTACTTAGACATTTCTAGTTAAATATGGGTCAAATATTAAGTTAAATAAAATTAAGTAGGAAAAGAACTTGGAGAAGATAGTGGAGGGGACAACATAGTTTTCCAGTCTCTGAATCCCCATAAAACACACACAGCAACCATGTAGCAAAACCAAAAATTCATGTATCAATTACAACAAAACCATGGGGCAAGGTATCCCCATGAAACCAAAATGCAAGCAGGTGAAGACAAACCATCCACAGTCAAAAGACCTGCATGGTATTAACATTTCTACAGGAGGAAGAAGGAGCAATGAGGGTGGCATCTAAGGAACCTGAGAATGGGAAAACCCCAAAACAGCCAATAAGTAGTCACTGCAAAGTGCAGAGATCCCATCTGAGACTAGCAGCTGAATCTGAGAGGAGTTTTCTCCTTTCCACTACCAGGGCTAATACAGAGAGATTTGAAACAGTTGGAGCAGTCCTGCCCCTAGTCTCAGAACCAACATGCCAGGTTCCCTTTTAGGCCAGAGCTTCAAAATGAGGAAAAACTGCTAGGAGGAGAATAAAAATTGAGCAGGAGATGGACAAGAGAGACAAGGAAAGAGAGAATCAGACGAAGTATTTTAGGGGAATAGAACCAGGATATCCCATAGAGCAAGCTACCATATTTTTTTAATACTACAAATGAGACAGAAGTGGGAGCTCTGTAAAATAGAAAGTTAACTGATCTTGCCTCACTCTAAAAAGTTCAGAAAGATCAATTCCACATAAAAATGAGCAACAAGGGACACCTGGGTGGCTCAGTCGTTAAGCATCTGCCTTCAGCTCAGGTCATGATCTCAGGGTCCTGGGATGAAGTCCCACACCGGGCTCCCTGCTTAGTGAGGAGTCTGCTTCTACCTCTCTGCCTGCCTGCCGCTCCCCCTGCTTGTGCTCACTCTCTGTGTCAAATAAATAAATAAAATCTTTAAAAAAAAATGAACAACAAAATATTTGAAGTCAGATCCTATGAAAAGGAAAAGGAGAATAATATGCCTATAAAGTATGCCAGAAAGATGTGTCCATAAAACAAAGCAAAAATACAAACACTGTCACCTATTATCTCACAATGAGCTAAAAGACTTTAAGAAAATAAATCCAGGGACGCCCAGGTGGCTCAGTCGGTTAAGAGTCTGCATTCGGCCGGGGTCATGATCCCAGGGTCCTGGGATCGAGTCCAGCATTGGGCTCCTTGCTCAGCGGGAAGTGCCGCTCCCTCCTGCTTGTGCTCTCTCTCATGCGCTCTGACAAATAAATAAAATCTTTTAAAAAAAGAAAAATCCACACCCAGCCATATTAAAACTTTGAAAAATAAGATAATGAATCTTCAAAACAGCAATAATTAGACTAACGACTTACAAATGGAAGTGTTAAGACAATGAAATATCTTCAAAATGCTGGGGAAAAACTGGCAACCTAGATTTCTCTATGCAGTGAAATATCCTTCAAAAACGAAAGTGAAATAAAAACATTTTTTGACAAAATCTGAGAGAATTCATCACAAGCAGATCTATTCTAAAACAAATGATCAGGATGTTCCAGTGACAGAAGGAAAATAATCAGAGATGGAAACCTGGAGACATAGGGGGGAAGAAAAGAACAGGAAGGGTAAATATGTGAATAAATCTAAATGAATATTAGCTGTATAAAACAAGAAAAAATAAATGTTTTGCAGATTTTAAAATATAAACCGAATTAAAATACCTTACAATAAGGGCATATAAGTGGGGAGGGGGACAGACAGAGTTAAAAGTGTTCTAAGGACCTTGCCTTGTTTGGGAAGAGGGCAAAAGGGCCAATAACATTAGACTCTGATAAACTAAAGATATGTATTATATTCTTTAGGGCAATCACTAAAAGAAAAAAAAAATTGGGGGAGGGGGAATAAATAAAATACTCAACTGAATTAAAAAACAACAACAACTTTATTTGAAGGTACTGAAGGTACTGAAAAGCTACCAAGGAAGTGAAAAAGGACAGGGCCAAGGTTCAGGAGAAGAAGGAAAAGCAGAGGTGAACTCTGCCTAACGTGTATGGCTGGATGGACCGCTGCCACCCTGGAAGCTTCACTGGCAAAGCCGCACCAAGGAGATGGGAACAGCATGGCCCCCCACAAGGTATGCGCACAGATTTCAGGGGACAGCCATAGGCCAAATTTGCTTAAAAGACTTTGAATCAAAAGATTTGGATGATGCTCCCGATTAGGAAAGCCACAATGTTAAAAATATGAAACAAGAAAGGTTGTAGTAAGGGAAGAGTAGAGAGCTTAAGAACCCACAACATTTACCTTTTTAAAAAAATGCCTGTATCTCAGTGGCTGCCAATTCTTCCTCTGAAATCTACCCTACACTGGCCGCTTCTCTCCAGCCCCACCAGCTCCTGCATGTGTCCCTGACCCTGGTGGCTCCCCATTGCAATCAGCTCTTCGTCCTTTTGTGCTGCTGCTGAAGTAATTTTATTTTATTTATTTATTTATTTAAGATTTTATTTTATTTTATTTGACAGAGAGTGACACAGCGAGAGAGGGAACACAAGCAGGACGAGTGGGAGAGGGAGAAGCAGGCTTCCCGCCGAGCAGGGAGCCCGACGTGGGGCTTGATCCCAGGACCCTGGGATCATGACCTGAGCTGAAGGCAGACGCTTAACGACTGAGCCACCCAGGCGCCCCCACTGAAGCAATTTTAACCAAAACCTGCAGGAGGGGGCAGTGGCCCATACACATTCTCTTGACTAAAATTTCTCTCCCCTTGCCAATGCCAACTTTTTCCCCAGGTTCTGCCCTAGATCAAGTCAATGTGGTCAGTCTCGACAGTGCCCCGAAACAGGTTATTTACTTCTGGGCAAATACTTTTTTTCAGAGAGGATCTTAGCCATCCTGGTTTACTTAGGATTCCTTCATACACTCATTTGATCAAACTAATATATGTTAGATGACCATTATATTATATGTCTGCTGGAGGCTTGGGGTGTGGGGAGGGGAAGAATGTAACACATACCATAACAAAGGTTACACATGGGCTTAATACAAAACAAAAACCTAGAATGAACTCAGAGAAGTTTGGTGTTCTGAGCTAATACTACCTGGCTTTAGAGGGAAATACTCTTCCAAAAGTCATTCGAATCCACAAATATAAGAACTTTCTGGCCACGCATCTGAAAGAAGGAAAGAAAGGATATATACACGTTTTAAAACTCCATTTGACTTATTTCATCAATTTTCTGGAAAGCAGAGGGAAACTAAGGTCCCCTGGGGAGAGATGCTAGCATGAGTCAAAAGGTGAATCACAGCTAATCTTGCATCAGATAGCGCATAGGATGGGACAGATTTATAAAGCCAAGATCAAGCAGATTGTTTTTATTATGTTTATTTTTATAAGTAATCTCCACCCTCATTATAGGGCTCCACCTCACAACCCTGAGATCAAGAGTCCTATGCTCTACCGACTGAGCCAGCCAGGCATCCCCCAAGCTGATTATTTTTGAAAAATACTTTCAATATAAAGTCTTTTGTCACTGAAGACTTCAGAGTTGAGGAAAAGGAAAGTACATGATAATGCTTTTATTCGTATGATTCTTACTGCCTAAAACACCTAGCAAACGCCCACTTATCTATCAAGGCTCATCTTCAATGCTTGCTGCTATGTAAAGCCTTCCTGGACCTTCCCCAACCCAAACATGGTGAGTAGCCTTGTACCCTCAACACTCTGATCCAACCCTTAGTAAATATAATGTTATGACACCAAATCACAGTAATCAGCTCACAGGGGACCTGTTGTTCCCTCTGCACTGTGAGGCCCTGAGAATGGGGACCATGTCTTACAGGATCCCAAGTACCTAGCACAGTGCCTGGTACACACACAAAAAACGTGGCTTGTCTTGGCCAGTTTGTCTCCAGGTTCAGCTTGGAACACTCTTCTTCCTCCTACCCTTTATCTGCCTTATTCTTACATTAACCTTTAGGACTCATCTTAAACCCCACTTCCTCCAGGAAGTTCCTCTGGCTACACTAGTGGTGCTGATCTAGCCCTGTGGGCCTACAGCACCACATCCTCTCATCTTATACCATTTATCATGCTTTCCTGGTGTGACTTAACAGTCTGTCAAGCCGATATGATTTTAAGCTTTCATGAGGTCATGGGCCAGGAATGTCTTATTCACCTTGTATGCTCAGCATCTAGCACAACACCTAGCCAAGTAGGCACCTGATAAAAATTTTTTTTGTAGTTTTACGGTTTTATTAACACAAATACAATGTATACAGAAGCTGTCTATTCATTTTCTTCACTGTGCAGTCTGGCATTGGGATTGGTGGCTCTGATGGTCAGCTGGGCTGCACTTTCCACAGTGGCTTTGTGGTTCTTAGAGGAGACATTGTGAGCAATCCCTGCACGGTAAGATCTGTTGCACATCCTCACCACTTCAACCTCCTTGACACTGTGGACTAGGAACTTAAGGAAGCCACTGGGCAGCATGTGCTTGGTATTCTTGTTGCTCCTGTAACATATGTTGGGCATCAAGATCTGGCCCTTGAATCTTCTGTGCACCCTACTGTCAATGCCTCTGGGTTTCCTCCAATTGCACTTAATTTTGACATATCTGGTGCCAGACATATATGGTGCCTCCTCAGGCAGCGCCAAGGAAGAGAAAGCCTGATAAATTTTTGTTGAGGGTGCCTGGGTGGCTCAGTTGGTTAAGCGTCTGCCTTCGGCTCAGGTCATGATCCCAGGGTCCTGGGATCGAGCCCCGCATCGGGCTCCCTGCTCAGCAGAGAGTCTGCTTCTCCCTTTCCCTCTGCTGCTCCCCCTGCTTGTGCTCTCTTTCACTTTCTTTCTCTCTTCTCTCTCTCTTGCTCTCAAATAAAGTCTTTTTAAAAAATTTTGTTGAATGAATAAATGAATGCCTTTGATAGACCTAATCAAAAGTAGTGGAAAATGACAATTTTTCTCAGACTATGTATGGACTTTTTCTGGAAGACTCTTTATAGCTTACACATTGTGGGTACAACTAGAGAATGTGAATGAAAACACAGAATGACAGACTTTAAATGTGCAGATTCCTAAATATCCTTTTCTTCTGAACATCCTGCCACAAAGAGTAGGCATCAAAGTCTCCGACTAATTGAGATAGAAGAATTAGAATCATCCCCTCATTTTCACCAAGAAGGGAGAACAATGGAAAAGCCACTGCAGGCAGGTGACAACTTGCAAGCTCACCTGATACGCAACTCTTGTAACCGGTTCCTTCGGGTCCAACCATGTGAGGCATGATACTGAACTGGATGACCGGCACTGGGTATCTCACTCCGCATCCCAGAGAAGGCAGAAGACTTCTGGTTGGCCAGTATCTTTGGAAGATAAGTTTTCTTAACTGCACCATCCTTAAAAGACCTTAAATTTGAGGAACAATGGGGAAAGGAGAGAATCAAATTATCTCTGCATGTGATGCAAATATCTTTTAACACACAAGTGAAATCAAACAGATAAGCTCAATGAGACAGACTGATAGTAACTATGCTTCAAGGACAATAAGCAGCTCAGTCTCTGATAGAAATACCCGCCATTCACAATGGTGTGTCCAACATCCTTAAGGCTACCCCCTAGATTCAGTGATGATTAGATCAAAGGACTCACAGGACTTAGCATATAGTTGCACTCACAGCTATTATTTATTACAAGAGGGCACGAAGCAAAATCAGTAAAGAGAATAGGCATATGGGGCAAAGGCTGCTGGAAATCAGGTGCATACCTCCAACGATGGAGTCACATAGGATACCCTTAATTCCCCCAGCACCAAATTATGTGAACACATGTGAAATGTTGTCTTCCAGGGAAGCTTATTAGAGACTCAGTGGCCAAAGTTCTTACTGGGGGCTGGTCCTACAGGCACCCTCTGCCTATCACATACCAAAATTCTAGATTTCTAGAAGGAGAGCAGGTACTCAGTATAAAACAAATTGCACAGGGCGCCTGGGTGGCTCAGCTGGTTAAGCAACTGCCTTCGGCTCAGGTCATGATCCTGGAGTCCCAGGATCGAGTCCCACATCGGGCTCCCTGCTCAGCAGGGAGTCTGCTTCTCCCTCTGACCCTCTCTCCTCTCATGCTCTCTCTCTCACTCTCTCTCTCAAATAAATAAAATGTTTAAAAAAAAACCAAAAAACAAATTGCACAAACAGTTCAGGCACAGTTAACTACCCTTATCAGTCAGGGAATGGTGAGAACCCTCCCGAAATCTAAGTTTCTAGACACCCGTCAAAGGCCAACCTTGTAAGCAGGACTTTCTAAGGACAGCAGTCTCAGGCCTGCAATGTTAATTCTTTTTCGCATGAATGGAAAACAAACATAACAGAGAAGAGCAAAAAGGAAAGTGAGTTCTTTAAAAACAGATAAAATTGACAAAAAGTCAATGAAACTGATCAAAGAGAGAAAAAGCCAAAAACCAGTATTAAGGGGGAAACACATCATTACAGATCCTAAGAAATATTGTAAACAACTCAATACAAATAAATTTGAAAATATAGGTAAAATGCATAAATAGCTAAGAAACAAAAACTTATCAAAACTACACAAAAAGTATAAAATGTGAACAGTCCAATAACCATTAGCAAAAATAAACAGTAGTAAAAACCTTCCCGCAACGAAATCCTCAGGCCTAGATGGTCTTGCTGTCAAGTTCTACCAAAATGTAAAGAAAAATTCATGCCAATCTCACATAAACTATTCTGAGAATTGTTTTTTTTAATTCTATTCTATTCGAGAAAAAGAGAGAACAGAGGAGGGGCAAAGGGAGAGGGAGAAAGAGAATCTCAAGCAGGCTCCACACATAGCACTCAGCATGGAGCCTGACATGGGACTTGATCTCACAGCCCTGAGATCATGACCTGAGCCGAAATCAAGAGTCACACACTCAACCAACTAAGCCACCCAGGTGCCCCTTAGATTTCTTTTTTAAAAAAAAGAACACCACCCATCCCAAATCTACATAAAACCAGGTGGTTTTAGGAGACTAGCCATAACCTTAATACGAAACCTAACGAGGAAATTTTAAGAAAAATTTACATCAATCTCACTAATGAATACATATGTAAAAATTTAAACAAAGTATCAGCTAACTCAAGTCAGCAACATAGAAAAAGGATAATACAATATGATGGAAGCTTAATTCCAGAAAGGGAAGGTTAACATTAGAAAAATCAACCGTTAAGACAATCATATAATCATTTCAATAGATGCAGAAAACACAGTTGATTAAAAAATTTTCAATATCCATTCATGACAAAAAGTCTTAAACTAGGAAGAGAAACCTTAATCTGATAAGGGCTACCTAAGAAAAATCTACGTAGATACCATACTTAAGGTGAAACACTGATAGCTTTCCTGTTTGAGATTATGAACAGGACACGTAAGACCATTTCTATACAACATTGTACTGGAAGTTCTGGCTGGCAGAGCAAAGCAAAAAAAGAGAAATTATAAGTCATTAAGACTGGAGAGGGGGAATAAAGTGTCATTTTGCGTATGACATGATTATGCATGTAGAAAACCCAAAAGAATCTACAGGTAAATTACTAAAATTTGTACAAGTCTAGCAAGACTATTTGATACAAAAACAATATAAAAAATATATACACAGTTGATCCTTGTTATTTCCAGTATTATATTCTATAAAGCCACCTCAAATATTCTGTGTCATGGATTGGAAAAATCAATATTGTTAAAATATCCATACTACCCAAAGCATCCACAGATTCAATGCAATCCTTATGAAAATTCCAGTGGTATTTTTCCCAGAAATAGAACAAATAATCCTAAAATATGTGTAGAGCCAAGAAAGACCCTGAAGAGCCAAAGCAATCTTGAGAAACAAAGCTGGAGACACCACGTTCCCTGATTTCAAATTATATTACAAAGCTATAGTTATCAGAACAGTATGGTACTGGCATAAAAAGACACACAGATCAATGAAACAGACTAGAGAGCCCAGAGATAAACTCACGCTTATATAGTCAACTAACTTATGATAAAGGAACCAAGAATATACACAGCGGGGAAAGGACAGTCTCTTCAATAAATGATATTGAGAAAACTGGACAACTACATGCAAAAGAATAAAACTTACACCATACACAAACTCAAAAGGAATTAAAGACTTGAATGTAAGACCTGGAACCATAAAACTCTTAGAAGAAAACATAGATAGTAAGCTCCTTGACATTGGTCTCAGTGCTGATTTTTTTGGACTTGACACCAAAGGCAAAGACAACAAAAGCAAAAATCGACGCATGGAACTAAAACTAAAAAGCTTCTGCACAGAAAAGGAAACAATCAACAAAATGAAAAAGCCATCTACTGATTGAAAGAAAATATTTGTAAATCCTATGTCTGATAAGGGGTCAATATCCAAACTATATAAAGAACTCCTACAACTTAATAACAAAAAACCCAAACAATCCACTTTAAAAATGGGCAGAGGGCACCTGGGTGGCTCAGTTCGTTAAGCAACAGCCTTCAGCTCAGGTCATGATCCTGGACTCCCAGGGTCGAGTCCCGCGTCAGGCTCCCTACTGAGCAGGTCTCCCTCTGACCCTCCCTCCTCTCGCGCTCTCTTTCTCTCTTAAATAAATAAATAAATCTTTAAAAAAAAAAAAAAGGGCAGAGAATCTGAATAGACATGTTTCCAAAGAAGACATACAAATGGTGAACAGGTACATGAAAAGATGCCAGTATCCCTAATTATCAGAGAGATGCACATCAAAACCACAAGGAGATACCACCTCACACGGGTGAGAATGGCTATATCAAAAACACAAGAAATAAGAACTGTTGGCAAGGATGTGGAGAAAAAAAGCCCTTATACACTGTTCATTGGAATGCAAACTGGTGCAGGCACCATGGAAAATGAGTTTCCTCAAAAAATTAAAAAGAGACCTACCATATAATCCACAATTCCACTTCTGGGGATTTATCTGAAGAAGAAAAAAAAATACAACTCTAAAAGATATACACACCCCCATGTTCACTGCAGCATTATTTACAATAGCCAAGACAAAGAAACAACCTAAGTGTCCACTGACAGGTGAATGGATAAAGAAAATGTGGTATGTGTATACACACACACACACAATAGCGTATTCTTCAGCCATAAAAAAGAATGAAATCCTGCCATTTGCAACAACATGAATGGCCTTGAGGGCCTTGAGGGCCAATAAATGAAACAAGTCAGACAGAGAAAGACAAATACCATATAACTTCCCTTATATGTGGAATTTTGAAACAGAACAAAATAACAAGCTTACAGACAGAGAACAGATTGGTGGTTGCCAGAGGCAGGGGTGGAGATGGGGGGTCAAAATGGGTGAGAGAGTCAAAAGCTACAAACTGCCAGTTATAAAATAAGTAAGTCATGTGGATAAAATATACAGCATGGTGATATAGTTAATAATCGTATTGAGTATTTGAAAGTTGCTAGGAAAGTAAATCTTAAAAGTTTACATCACAAGAAAAAAATTCTGTAACTATGTATGGTGAAAGATGTTAACTAGACTTAAGTGGTAAGCAGTTTGTGATATATACAAATATGGAATCATTATGCTGTACACCTGAAACTAACATAATGTTGTACCTCAATTATACCTCAATAAAAACTTAAAAAGGGGGAGGGCAGAGCATTCCTTGTTTCATCTCAGCTGAGAATGTGCCTGTTGAGCAACTCAAATGTTACAAGGCTCTACACATGTCCAAAAATGACCCCGAGAGCACTGAGAAAGCCTTGGGAGATTGGGGGTTAAAATAAATTTTGGCGATTATATGAATTCACAAATTCAGAATCTACAAATTAGGATCAACTGTATGTATTTCTATAGACTAACAATAAACAAAATTTAAAGCTATTTATATACTGTTTTCAAACCACAAACACCAAGTACAGGAGTAAATCTAACAAAAGTTGCAGGGGCACCTGAGTGGCTCAGTTGGTTAAGCGTCCAACTCTTGATTTCAGCTCAGGTCAAGATCTCAGGCTAGGTTCGTGTTGGTCTCCCTGCTCAATGGGGAGTCAGCTGGTCTCCCTCTCCCATCGCCCCCGGCCGCTCGCTCTCTGCCTCTCTCAAATAATCAATCTTTAGAGCAAAGTTATAAACATTTGGGGTGCCGGGCTGGCTCAGCCAGTAGAGCATGCAACTCTTGATCTTGGGATTGAGTGTTCGAGCCCCACGTTGGGTGAAGAGCTTACTGGAAAAAAAAAGTTGTAAACATTTTTATAGGGAAAATTTTAGGACTTACCAAAACAGTTATTTTTCCCAACCTGATCTATAGCTTCAAAGTAATCCCAATTAAAACCCCAACAATTTTTGTTTTGTGAGATGGGGAAAAGACCTGACAAGTTGACTCTGAAGCTGATATAGAATTGTGAAGACCAAGACTAGCTTACAGACATTCTTTTAAAAGTACTTGGTGAGGGGGTGCATGGCTGGCTCAGTCAGTAGAGCATATGACTCTTGATCTCAGGGTCATGAGGTCGAGCCCTATGTTGGGTATAGAGATTTCTTAAAAATAAAATCTTTTTTAAAGAAGTGTTTAAAAGTACTAGATGAGAAACCTTACTTAGATCTCAGACTTACTGTAAAGCTATATAATCAAGCCATCATGATTTTGTAGCAGGGACAATTCAACCATAGGCACAAAGTAGAAAGCCGAGAAACAGACCTAAGCTTAAATGGACCTTTGATTAATGATAAAGGTGGCGCTGCAGAGAAGTCTTTCCAGTAAACTGTGCTGGCCCAACTGGATATCCACATGGAAAAAAAAAAAAAACAACTCATACGACAAACAAAAATCACTTTTTTTTTTTATTAAAGATTTTTATTTATTTTTTGACAGAAAAAGACAGCAAGAGAGGGAACATAAGCAGGGGGAGTGGGAGAGGGAGAAGCAGGCTTCCCGCCGAGCAGGGAGCCCGATGTGGGGCTCGATCCTAGGACCCTGGGATCATGACCTGAGCCGAAGGCAGACGCTCAATGACTGAGCCACCCAGGCGCCCCACAAAAATCACTTTCAAATGGTCTAGAGAAAAAAAATGCAAAATAATAAAGCAATGAAAGCAATACACAATATGTTCATGACCCCAGGAAAGGAAAGATCCCTTAAAACATGACGGAAAAGATATATTAAAAAAGACATCATTTTTACTAAATTAAAGTTTAAAGCACCATAATTCATCAAAAGATACCAGAGTGAAAAAAAGTGAGCCACAAAGAGGGAGAAGATATTTGCAACACATAAGACAGAAAGAACTCACATTTGGAAAAATAAAAATTCCTATATATCAATTGGGGGAAAGACTCAATACACAACTGAATAGAAAAATGCAATTAAGGGGGCGCCTGGGTGGCTCAGTCATTAAGTGTCTGCCTTTGGCTCAGGTCATGATCCCAGGGTCCTGGGATCGAGTCCTGCATCGGGCTCCCTGCTCCACAGGAAGCCTGCTTCTCCCTCTCCCACTCCCCCTGCTGGTGTTCCTGCTCTCGCTGTGTCTCTCTCTGTCAAATAAATAAATAAAATCTTTAAAAAAAAGAAAAATGTGATTAAGAGTTGAATATGTACTTCAGAAAGAGGAAATTCAGATGCCCCAAAACAGGTACTCAACAGCAACAGAAATCAGGAAATACGAATAAAGAGCACAGTGAGCTATGACTATATCCCCACCACAGAAGCAGTGTTGGGAAGATGTGGGCCAACAGCACACCCATACATGGCCAGAACTTACTAGAAATATAAATCACTGGGCATGACCCCAGATCTACTGAATCAGAACTCTGATGGTGGAGCCCAACAATCTGTGTTTACTAAGCTCTCCAGAGCATTCTGATGCAGGCTCGAACTTCAGAACCGCTGTGTGCCACACTATGCATATGAGAATCATCACATTCAAAAACTGGAAACAGCCCAAATGCCCGTCAACAGAATGGATAAACTGTGTAATAGTCCTATAATGTATCACAGAGCAAGGAAAATGAGCAAACTACAACTATAGACAATAACGTGAAGGAATCTTATAATCTTGAGAGAAAAAATCAAGATACAAAAGAATACATATGATTCCATTTATATAAAGGCAAAGAGGCAAAACTAAACTATATTGTTTTGGAATGCATACTTAACTGGTAAAAATATAAAGAAATTTGAGAAAGTGATTACTATTAAAGTAGGACAGTGGTTTACTCTAGGGAAGAAGGAGTGGGTGTGATTAGGAAAGGATACAGAAAAAGGGACTTCGGAGGTGTTGACAATACACTATTCCTTTACTGGTGTGATGGTTACATGTTTGTTTCAAAATGATATAATAAACAGTACATTTTATGCACCTTTCTGAATTTAAACTGTGTTCTATTTTTTTTTTTTTTAAAGCAAACATTCCCTTCTCAAGGTCCCACATCTGAAGCTGTAAAGTAATTGGAGAAAATAAGAGTTAGAGGCTACAGAGGTTCATTTTAAGCCATGGTTAATTTGCTTCAGAGGATGAAATGAGGCAGGCCTGAAGAGTGCTCTACAGAGCACAAGGGAAACACTGCTGATTCAGCTTTCAAGGATCCCTTTTTATGGGATCAGCAGGGGCAGACCTCAGCAGTAATGCTGGAACTCCATGATCCTTCTCCAAGTCCCGGTGGATTAGAGCAGGAGGAGAAATCTGACTTACGCTGGACTATCCAGATTCATCCACCCAGGAGTGAATTTTGAGCTGAGACACAGACTGGACAGGAGTTGGAGGCTGAAGCACCAATATGGCACCACTCAGGAGGAAAGGTCCAAACAACTGCCAGATAGGTCGCTCCCACCATACTCTGGCTTCTACCCTGCCCAAGGCCTAGTAGGTTCTACAAAAAACTTCTGTACGTTAGCATTATAGGTTGCAAGCAATCAGAACCCAGTTCAAATTAGCATAAGGAAAAAAAAGTGTAACAACAGTAAGGGTCCTTCAACAAAACTGATAAGCCTTTAGCAAATTGCTAAAAAGTAGGAATGAAAGAGAGGACATTACCACTAACTTTTCCTAAATTGAAAGAATATAAAGGAATACTATGAACTTTATGCCAACAAATTAAATAACTGAGATGAAATGCACACATTCCCAGAAAAACATAAATTACCAAAATTGACTCAAGAAGTAGTAGAGGGCGCCTGGGTGGCTCAGTCGTTAAGCGTCTGCCTTCGGCTCAGGTCATGATCCCAGGGTCCTGGGATCAAGTCCCACATCGGGCTCCCTGCTCAGCAGGAAGTCTGCTTCTCCCTCTCTCACTCCCCCTGCTTGTGTTCCTGCTCTCGCTATCTCTCTGTCAAATAAATAAAATCTTTAAAAAAAAAAAAGTAGTAGAAACTCTGAATAGACCTATAACAAGCAAAGAAATGGACTTAGTATTTAAAATGTTTCCTACAAAGAAAGGAGTCCAGATGGCTCCACTGATGAATTCTATCAAATATTTTAAGAATAAATGATGCTGGGGCGCCTGAGTGGCTCAGTCGTTAAGCATCTGCCTTCGGCTCAGGTCGTGATCCCAGGGTCCTGGGATGGAGCCCCACATCGGACTTACTGCTCTGCGGGAAGCCTGCTTCTCCCTCTCCCACTCCCACTGCTTGTGTTCCCTCTCTCGCTGTGTCTCTCTCTGTCAAATAAAGAAAATCTTAAAAAAAAAAAAAAAGATGCCGATACTCTATAAATTCTTCCAGAAAATAAAGGAGGAAGGAACACTTCCAAATTCATACTTTGAGCCAGTATCACACCCTGATACCAAAGGCAGACAAAAATACACACACACTGGGACACCTGGGTGGCTCAGTTGGTTAAATGTCTGCCTTCAGCTCAGGTCATGTTTCTGGAGTCTCAGGATGGAGCTCCATGTCAGGCTCACTGCTCAGCCGGGAGTCTGCTTCTCCCTCTGCCCCTCCCAGCTTGTGTTCTCTCTCACTCACTTTCTCTCTCTCTCAAATAAATAAATCTTAAAAAAAAAAAATCACACACACACAAAATATAGACCAATATCTAATAAACAAAACTATCAACACAAAAATCCTCAAAATATATTAGTAAACTAAATCCAACACATAAGAACCATACAAAAAACACCCTGCCCAAGTTGGATTTATCCTAGGATGCAAGGTTAGTTTAACATCTGAAAATCAATGTAATATACCCTGTTAATAAAGGACAAAAACCATAAGATCATTTCAACTGATGCAGAAAAACCATCTGACAAAATCCAACACCAGTCATGATAAAAATTCCCAAGATTCCCACAGAAAACTGATGATATACTAAAAACAAATGATAATTTGAGGATGGCATATTTACAAAGGTGTGGGTGTAGAGGAACCACAAGGGAAAGTGCAGGAGCCTGAAGCTAGTAGAAGCTAAGCTGGTGTCATCTCTAGACCCAAAGGGGTAAGGAGAGGAAATAATTACCAGAACGCAGAAGGACTCCTGCCTCACCAGGTGCTCTGTGAACTTCAGTGGAGGGACACAGCCAACCCAAAACATCTTGCAAGGAGGGAGCCAAGGGAATAAATAAATAGTCTGGCCTCATTCTTCTCCCTCCCCCTACCTCCTGCCAGACCTCTTCTTTGGCCAATCCCATCAGGAAACCTTGGATGCCAATGAGCGGAGATTAGATATTCAGCACAAAGAGGTAATTCCCTAGCTCTTGCACTTTGGAAGAATTCTCAACTAGAGCTTCAAGAACTAGAGCTCGTGTCTCAACATTGTCAGATCTTCCTGCTTCTCTCAGTGCGCTGCCTCTACTTGGTGGATACTGTAACCGCAGTCACAGCAACCTCAGCAATAGAGAGTAACCCTCTTTAAATGGCTGTCTCAGCTTTAGAGAAAAACCCCTGATTAGCCTATACAGTCACGTGCCCAGGGCAGTGGGACACTCATGACTGGCCAGCTACAAGCCATATACTCACCCCTGAGAGTCTGAGATTTGTTAGTAAACAGCACTCTTTCTTGTAAATTCCTTCCTTTTGTCAAGGTTAGCCAGAGCTGGATTCTGCTATTTGGAAATCAAAAGAACCTGCATCTAGGCTGAAAGTAACCATGATCAAAAGCAGGAGAAAGATCCAAAATACAGTCAGCCTTGGGTGTTAGAACTTCCAACATCAGGATTTCCCAAATACCAAAAAAGGAAATCTTTCGGGGGGAAAAAACTACTGGGGAAATGGAGGGCCCATAGCACTGTCCAGCATCCAGACCACAGCTACTCCATCTAGCACCATGAATGGCAATTCCCAGCGCTTCTTTCCTGGTGCCCACACTGGTGTCCCCACTACCTATGAGATGCTCAAGGAGGAGCACAAGGTAGCTGTACTCCAGGTGCCCTACAGCTCAGCTCCCACGGCGACCACCATGATCAACATCCACCGCAAGATGTCGGTGCCCAACCACATCATCTGGTCCCTCTTCAACATAATCTTCATGAACTTGTGCTGCCTGGGTTTCGTGGCATTCACCTACTCCATTAAGTCTGAGGACCTGAAGAGGGTGGTAATGTGGCTGGGGCCCAGGCCTATGCCTCCACCACCAAGTGCCTGAACATCTGGGCCCTGCTCTTAGGCCTCCTTCTGATCATTGCGTTCATCACTATTTCTTTTTTAAAGATTTTATTTATTTATGAGAGAGAGAGAGAGAGAGAGAGAGAGAGAGAGAGAGAACATGGCGGGGGAGGCTGCAGAGGAAGAAGCAGAGTCCCCACTGAGTAGGGAGCCCGACGTTCATCATTATTTTTCAACATTATTTCTGCCACTGGCTCACTGATAATTTTCTAAGCAATTTCAGAGAACATAAAACATTATGGAAGCTATTAGCAGCTGCCCATGGCCTGAAGCTGTCACTCCTATCACAGAATTTTATATACATGTCAGGCTGCAATTGAATTCAATAAAGTACTTGTGTGTGGGGAGGAAAAAAAAAAGAACTTCCAAACTCAGCAAAATCATCCTCATTCTTGCTCAAAATCATAATTTTAATGATGGATATTCCCACACACTCAAAATGGTTTTGAACTCTGTTAGGTATAAAATGTACATTATACTCTAGATGAGAAACCCAAAATATCAACAAAAAAAAATCCTTACCCAAAGTTCCTTTCTCACCACTCATGATTTAGGAAGAAACTACTTTTTTATTATTTATCATTTTTACACACAAAATGTTTACAGGTTTTTATATGGGTCACAATTTCAGTTATCTTTTTTTATTAAGTCCTATCACTCACCTGGAGTCCACCTTCCTCTGCATTCTCTGCTTACTTCTCTTTTGATGGAAATTTGGCAGTAGCTTGATATACACTTCTCAGTGAGCAGATTCTTCATGAATCAAAAAGTCTTTTATCTTCCCTTTCTAACTATAAAAAAAGAGGGAAAAGGAGAGTAAATTATCTGAAGCCTCTTAGGAGTCACATTTCTGAACAGCTACATGCTAACTCCTAATCTCTTCTTAATTCAACATGAGATGAACATGGCAAGTCTATGAAATTTTTTAATTTTTTAATCGCATTTTGAGAGACTATGGACTCTGAGAAACAAACTGAGGGTTTTAAAGGGGAGGGGGGTGGGGGGTGGGTTAGCCCAGTGATGGGGCTATTAAGGAGGGCACGTATTGCATGGAGCACTGGGTGTTATATGCAAACAATGAATCATGGAACACTACATCAAAAACTAATGATGTACGGTATGGTGACTAACATAACATAATAAAAAAAATTAAAAAATTAAAAAAGTTATTTCATAAGAAAGGAAACTGGGAGGAGAGAGAATGACACTCAAAAGGCTATAACTGGCTCATTCTTCTTATCCAGGTGATGCTCTAAGACCTCCGACTTCCCTTCACAGGAACACTAGGAGAAGCCTAGATTTTATTTTTTGCCTAATTTTTTTGGTTGTCAATGTTACCTCTAAGAATATCCAGGGAGTTTGGGTCAATAGTAAATTACCGTGTACAGTTTCCATTTTCATTTGGTGATAATTTCTACCAGTAATATTCATTATGAACCAATAAGGAACATAGTTTTATTTCTTAGCACAAAGAATAGCAATGTTGTGGGTTGGATTGTGTCCCCCTAAAAGAAGTCCCAACCCTGAGTATCTATGAATTGACCTGATTTAGAAATTGTCTTTGCAGATGTAATTAAGATGAGGTCACATTGGAATAAGGTGGGCCCTTAATCCAGTATGACTGGCATCTTTATAAAAAAAAGGGAATGAGACTGAGGGACAGATACACACAGAAAGGAGAATGCCATGTGAAGAAAGACATACAGGGAGAACAGCATGTGATGATGAAAGCAGAGACTAGAAAGATGTGTCCACAAGGCAAGGAATACCAAGAATTGCTGGCAACACCAGAAGCTAAGAGAAACGCATGAAACAGATCCTCCTCCAGAGCCTCCAGAAAGAGGATGGCCTGTTGACATCTTGACGTCAGATTTCTAGCTTCCGGAACTATGAGACAATACATTTCTGTTGTTTATAAGCCACCAAGTGTATACTATTTTGTCAGAGCAGCCTTTGGAAACTAATTCAAGTAGTAAGAAAAAGGAGTAAGATTTAAGTACACGGTGGAAGAAAACTAATAGGGTGGACTTGTCCTATGTTGAGTAATTGTGAGGTATTTATAATAAGACATTCATTCTAAAAGAATGAAATCACCCTTTATAATCAAGGTCACATATTTCAATAACAGAGAAGGAATTAGCCAGAAAAGAAAGTTAACCCATACAAAACCAATAGACCTTACTGAGATCAAACGTTTGTCCTCCTCATCTTTCTGGTATCACACTCCAAGTAACAAAGGTCACCATTAGTGACTATTTCTGTAAATAAAGGATATTTCAAACAGGGATTTTTGGCTAAATACTGCTGTAATAAATGGGTCACCGCCTTGGGTTCATGTCTTGTTGTAATGATTCTCTAGAATACCTACAGAGTGGGATACCAACAAGAAGCAGGCCCACAGAATCTCAGAAGAGCTCAGAACTAGAAGGAACAAAGGAATGGCTCCCAGAACTGAAGCCACAAGCCACAAATGAGGTGACTGAATGAAAGTCTACATGGTGAGCATTTGGGGCCACTGGTCTCCTTCCCAACCCTGCCAGGCAGGGTATCCAGCTTCTTCTCCATACCTTGCTTCCAGAATTCTGGCAGCTCGACTGGTACCTCCCAGTCAGGAGACTGGAAGAACCTTTGCAGAAGAAGCTGAAAACTAAAAGGCCTCAAGATTCTTGTATCTGTTCCCTACCTCCCTCAATGAAAACACACGCTCGCCCCTAGAGAGAAGCTCACAAACCTGCAAGTCCTGCTCAGACACTGGGAGCGTGTAACTAATTTCTCAGTTGCTGACACTTATGTATGAATGGACAATCAAGAATCACAAGAGATTTGGATGTGACCTCCAACAAGAAAGAGAGCAAAGCAAATGAAGAAATCTGAGGAAGTCCACGACCTGTGATGTACTCCTGCCAAGAACTTGAATCTAAATATCAAGCATCATCTACAACTAAGTACCAACTTACAAAAAATACAGGGAGTAAAAATGATTCTGCAATCAGCAAAATCAATGATGTAGGAAACTTCACAGGACTAACGACCCAGTTCCTTCAACAAATAAACTGCAAAGAGGGGAAACTTATACATTAAAAGACACTTAAGATGTAGATCAAATGCAATGTATGGACTTTGATTTTGGATCTTGATTTTAACTAACTACAAACCAACTGTCAAACAAAAAATATGAAACAATCAGGGAAACTTAAACTTTAAACTTTTTCTAATCTAAAAAATATTTTAATGAAATAATTTTAATGAATTAAAGAATTATCATTAATTTTTGGGAGGGCGCCTGGGTGGCTCAGTTGGTTAGATGTCTGACTCTTGATCTCAGCTCAGGTCTTGATCTCAGGGTTGTGAGCTCTGAGCTCAGCATGGAGTCTGCTCGAAATTCTCTCTCTCCCTCTCCCTTTGCCCCTCCCCTGGCTCATGCAAACTGTCTCTCTCTCACTAAAATAAATAAATCTTAAAAAAAAAAAAAAAAGAAAAGAAAAGAAGAAAGTCTCTCAAAACTGAAGGATGCAAATCCTCAGATGAAAGGTCCTGCACAGAGGCCAAACGTCAGAGATCAAACACTTTTTCCCCATGCAAGGAGAAAAAGTTTAAGCTATCTGTCCCTTTTTTTTTATTAGTAAGATTTTATTTATTTGAGAGAGAGTACGAGAGAGCACAAGTAGGGGGAGCTGCAGAGGGAGAGGGAGAAGCAGGCTCCCCACTAAGCAGGGAGCCCAACGCAGGATCCCAGGACCCCACCACCCTGGGATCATGACCTGAGCCGAGGGGAGGGATAGACACTTAACTGACCAAACCACCCAGGCACCCCTAAGCTATCTCATTCTTGAGAAGTTACAGGAAAACTGGATGTTGTCAAAATTAAAAATAGTTGTTTCAAAGGACACCATCAAGAAAGTGAAAAGACGACTCACTGAATGGGAGAAAATACTGGCAAATCTATTAAAACACATATCTAGATTATATTTTTAAAAAATTCTTACTACACAGTAATAAAAAAACCCAATTTTAAAATGGACAAAGGATATGAATAGACATTTCTCAAAAAAAAATACATAAATGGTCCATAAGCACATTATAAGATGTTCAGTATCAGGGCACCTGGGTGGCTCAGTCGTTAAGCGTCTGCCTTCAGCTCAGGTCATGATCCCAGATCTTGGGATTGAGCCCCACATCGGGCTCCCTGCTCAGCGGGAAGCCTGCTTCTCCCTCTCCCACTCCCCCTGCTTGTGTTCCCTCTCTCGCTATCTCTGTCAAATAAATAAAATTTTTAAAAAAAAAAAAAAAAAACAAGGGGTGCCTGGGTGGCTCAGTCGTTGGGCGTCTGCCTTCGGCTTGGGTCGTGGTCCTGGGATCAAGTCCCGCATCGGGCTCCCTGCTCTGTGAGGAGCCTGCTTCTCCCTCTCCCACTCCCCGTGCTTGTGTTCCCTCTCTCACTGTGTCTCTCTCTGTCAAATAAATGAAAATCTTTAAAAAAAAAAAAAAATGTTCAATATCATTAGCCATCAGGGAAATGCAAATCAAATCCCAATGAGATAACCATTAGGATGGCTACAATCAAAAAGAAAGAAAGATTGGGGCACCTGGCTGGCTCAGAGGAACAGGCAACTCTTGATCTCAAGGTCGTGAGTCCGAGCTTGAGTGTAGAGATTACTTCAAAAATTAAACTTAAAAAAAAAAAGACAAAGATAATAACAAGTGTTGGTGAGGATGTAGAGAAAGTGAAACCCTCAGACACTGCTGGTGATAATGTAAAATGGTGCAGCCACTTCGGAAAACTGGCAATTCCTCAAAAAGATAAATATAGTTACCATTTGACCCAGCAGTTCCATTCCTAGGTACATAGCCAAGAGAACTTAAAACAAATGTCTATATAAAAACTTGTATATGAATGTTCACGGCAACATTATTAATAATAGCCAAAAAAGTGAAAGCCCAAATGTACACCAACTCATGGATGTACAAAATATGGTATATCCACACAATGAAATATCATGCAACCATAAAAAGAAATGCACTACTATTACATGTTAAAACATGGATGCATACTGCTGCATACTAGGTGAAAGAAGCCAATCACACAGGACCATGTATCATATGATTCCATTTATATGAAATGTCCAGAACAGATAAACCTATAGAGTCACAAAGTAAATGCCTGACGACTAGGGCTGGAAGGATTGAAGGGAAATGGGGAGTGACTCCTAACATTAAGGGTTTCTTTTCAGGGTGATGAAAATGTTCTAAAATTGATTTTGGTGATGGTTGCATAACTGAATATATTAAAAACCACTGAAGACTTTCAATTGGTCAATTGTATTCTATATGAATTACATTGCAATAAAGCTGTTAAAGAAAGAAGAGGAGGAGGAAGTAGAAGCAGTAGTTATTAAAGGAAAATGTATCCCCAAAACCAAGGAAACAGAGGGGAAAAAAAGGAACGCAGGCAACAGCAAATTCAATATAAGAGAATAGCAAAAAGCAAATCCCAGGATAGATGTGAAAATAAGTTTCTGGGGGCGCCTGGGTGGCTCAGTTGGTTAAGCGACTGCCTTGGGTTCGGTCATGATCCTGGAGTCCCTGGATCGAGTCCCACATCGGACTCCCTGCTCGGCAGGGAGTCTGCTTCTCCCTCTGACCCTCCCCCCCTCTCATGTGCTCTCTCTCTCATTCTCTCTCTCTCAAACAAATAAAAGTTTTTTAAAAAAAAAGTTTCTGGATTAGAACTGAGTACAGCAGGCACAGAACCACCAGATCAGATTAGAACAGAGGAAGATCTCCAGGAAAAAGATGAAATGGACAGTTTTGAGAGTAATTTTGCAAAAAAATTAGATAAGCATATGAGAAATGCTGATGCATTCAGGAAAAAAAAATTTAACGACCTGTGCATGAGTACTAGGCAAATGAGAAAATAAGATACTCATTTTCATTCCTGAGAGACAGAGAGAGAGAGGCAGAGGGAGAAGCAGGCTCCCAAGGAGCAGGGAGCCCGATGCGGAACTCGATCCCAGGACCCTGGGATCATGACCTGAGCCGAAGCCAGACGCTTAACCATCTGAGCCACCCAGGCGCCCAAGATATTCATTTTCAGAAAAAAAAAAAAAGGGATGTACAAGAAAGAACAGTTGCAGTACTCTACTTGGTACAGCTGTGAAATGTTATATAACACCGACCACTTATCTTCCACGGATAACAGTCAACATTTTATGTGTAAAATTAAAAAAATCAGGAAATATCGCCCATAAGGATATATACTTCCAACTTATAAATAAGATCAGGAGAAACTGCTAGCAGAATGGAAATTATAATTGGGACGTGGGCTATTTTCTATTTTTTTTTTTAAAGATTTTATTTATTTATTTGACAGAGAGAGAGACAGCGAGAGAGGAGGGCACACAAGCAGGGGGAGTGGGAGAGGGAGAAGCAGGCTCCCCAAGGAGCAGAGAGCCCGATGCAGGGCTCGATCCCAGGACCCTGGGATCATGACCTGAGCCGAAGGCAGACGTTTAACGACTGAGCCACCCAGGCGCCCCTCTATTATAAGCTTTTAATATTGGTTTTTAAAGTCATGTATGTTAACTTGAAAAATTAAGTAACTTCTTAAGGAAGTTTCCACAGGGGGCACCTGGGTGGCTCAGGTCCTGATCTCGAGCCCCGCATCGGGCTCCCTGTTCAGGGGGGAGCCTGCTCCTTCTGCTTATGCTCTTTCTCTCTCTGTCAAATAAGTAAATAAAATCTTACAAAAAAAAAAGTTTCTATAGTACTTTGCAGCTGCTAACAATGACTGAGAAATCAATGATCCTCCTAACGAAAAACAAGGAAAGACCTAAATTTATATCTTAAGCACCCAAAACAGTTTCAACTACTTCTTCCAGGAAGCCTTCCCTGACACCTCCAAGCCTCATACTTCCATGGCACTTGGGCGGGCACCATGAGATCTAAAACGAATAAATTAAAAAAACAAACAAAAAAACACTTATTAGCGGGTACTCTCTGTCAGGTATAGATAGTACTAAGCATTCTTCATTCATAACCTGCCTTTTAACAGCCACCCAAACAGGTGGTAGCCATTTCATTTTACAGACGAAATACCTAATTGAGGTCATTAGCCAAGAGGTAGGGCCGGACTGGTACTCAGGTCCCTAACACCATTCGTTCAAATATTTACTATGCTTCTCCACAGGCCGACAAGAAACCTGAACCGCCTCCCATGAGATAGTAAGGAAGCATTTATCTCCCGCTGCCGGTGAGGCTTCACTGTTGTTGATCTGCTGGGCCCTCTGCGTTCAGATGAGGTCCCCCAGGTTCGTGCACACTAGCCCCGGGCCTGGCCACGCAGCAGGGATCTAGAAACTCCTGATTCGGATCCGCGACTGCAAATGAGCCTTGCAAGGATGCAGGCACCGGCGCTCGCCTGCAGCGCACCAGACGCGCGGGAGGAAACGGCGCTCGGAGCCCAGGCGACTAGAAGCTGACAGGAAGCAGCACCCGGCAAGAAGGACGCAAGGACCGCGCTGGGCGAGGAAGGCGGGCTCCGAAAGTCCTGCGCACTCTCTTCACACCTCTTCCACTCCCAGATCACAGTCGGTGGATAGGAAGCATCGCCTGCACTCCTAGAGAGGGAAGCGGAGGCCCCAAGAGGAGAGTCCACAGGGACGTGCGCTCGCCGCTGGACTCCAAACCGAGGAGGCCGAGCCACTCAGAGGCTGGAGACGATGCGACCAGGCCTCATACCTGACAAGCCGAACACTCCGGCCTCGCGAACTCCCAGCCGGAGTGGGCAGCCGCGGCCCGCGCTCCTCGGACCCGCGGGGCCCACAACCTCTTCAGCGCTTCCCGCGTCTCTGCACACGAGTCTCGCGCCGGCCCCGCCCCTGTCTCCACGGCGACGCGGCGTGCGTGTACCACGTCTCTCCAGGGACTCGAGTTCGCGCAGCCTCAGTCCGAGAGGTGACACGCCTCCCTGTGGCAGCCGCGGGGCACCGGCAAAGCTGTGTTGGCCCTAAAGTGCGCGGATGAATACGACGTCTGTGCAAACTCAAGGAGGGCTCGCGGACTCGGCCCAGTCGCTTCTCAGAGCTCAGAGCTTAGACAAGAGGAGTAGGAGTTATTTCGAATCGGATTTCCGAGCTACGCCTCACGCGGCAAGGACTAGGGATGAGACCCACGCGGACGAAGGTTTTCCTTCCCCCCACTGCCAGGCTCCCGCGTGAGCCTCTCTAGCTGTTGGTTCTCCATGGTTCCCAGCCGGTAAGAGCCAGCCCCTAAGTAGTAGGGCGCGCGCATGCGTGGACCAGGGAGGTTGTCAATCTGAAGGCCAAGGGAGGTGTTCCGCGGCCCCCGATTTTAAATTATCCCAGGCTGGGATCTTCTCTGAACCATTCCTTAAAAAAATGTAGTTAAGCACTAATTGTTAGTAAATAGTCGTTAAGTTTTTTTTTAAAGAACTCTGATCATCTTTTAAAAATAGGAGTAAGGGAAGGTAGGTGGGCCATTTTCATATGCTTTTCTCCGCTTTGTAAAACATTTGAAAGCACATGAGATTTTTGGTGGAGAGAGCAAAGGCTAGCATTATGTACTTAAATGCTTGGAAGATTTTATATTACAAATATGAGGTAAAATACTTGCTGGGTGTCCTGGGATTAAAATCACACAGGTCGTTTGCATTTTTGCTCTATTTTCTACATATGCTAATTTGTTACTAAAAAACAGGTGTTTAAAAGAAGTTCCACTTTAGCAGGACACGGGAACCAATCTTTTAGGGATGACTAATTTAGTGAGTTTCAAATTAACACTAATATTTACTAACTGTAAAATTAGTCTTAGAAGTACTTTATGCTTTCTAGATGATTTGCTGACGCTTTATTCCTGTCATGTACCTCTACTACCATCAACTTTGACTAATTTAGGAAGGGATGAAAGGCATTTTCGAGTTATTAATGCAAATAATTATTCCTGTCAGGAAAGATTAGAACAGTATAGAGTAACAACAGCTAGTGGAGCAGCACTTACTCATTTGGCTCTGTTGTAAGTACTGTACTTACTCTGATGTAAGTACTCTGTTGTAAGTACTGGCTCTGGTGTAAAGCACCAGAAAGGGTAGAGGCTCTGCAAAGAATTTGTGTGGTCTTCCAAAAGTCCCTTAATTTCTTTATAGTCCTTAACCTGAGTACATTATGCCACACACCTGTGAAACTGTTTTAACTCTTTCTTAGAACCAGGGATTACCCTTAAAGCAAGAAAAACTGAACAGGAAAAAAGCGCATTTAGAGAGGCACTGTCTAGTTGAGTAATCCCAACTTTCTGAGATTAGGCTGCTCTAAAAATTACTAGGTTTCTAGCATTTTCATTTGCTTCTCTACTGCTCTTGGACTGCTAATTTCCCCCAACTGACTGAACTTTTGAGTCCCAAACTTTGAACTGAACTGAACCTAAGCTCTTTCAAATATTTAGTAAAGAACAAGAGTAAATAACTTCTTATTCTCTCAAGGAGCCTTCTCATACAGGTATTTTAAAAATTCATTAATTGCAAAAAGGGGCATTTACAAACTATCATTCTTACCGAGAATATTCAAAAGCTACAATTAAACAAGGATTTGCAAGCATCTAGGTTTTGCACAACACAGGTGACCCTCCCTTAGTAAATTATTACCTTTATTCCCAGGTACTAATTTGCATCTCATTTCACAAGGACAAATTGAGAGTCTCTGAGAGATAAGTGAGGTGAGACCAAGGTTCTACAAGATACTAAAGGAGAGCTTGGTGGAAGCTCTAATCTATCCCAACTAGGATAGATTAGCTCCAGGCCAGGCGTCTACCATGGTAGCTACAATGCCTTGAGCAGATTTTATGTGTATGTGCTAATTTTAAAATATGTCCACGAATTCTTTGACACGTCTACATAAAAGTAGTCTAAGTCCCCTCCCCTTAGTGACTTAATAGAATACGGCATGTGGCAGAACACTGAATGACTCTGAGGCTAGGTTAGAAAAGGCAGTTCAGCAACTGGCTGCCCACAGAATCCTGCCACCATGTTGTGAGAAAAGCTCAGGCCACAGAGAGGGCATGTATAAACGTCCAGTCAACAGCTCCAGGAACCCCAGCCGACAGCCACCATCAAGCACCAAATATGTGAGTAAGCGAACCATTAAATGGAGCAGAAACCAGGTGTCTTGGGTGCAAAATAAATATTGAGTTAAGCCACTGAGTTTTCGGGTAGTTTATTACACAGGAGTAGATTATTAGGACAATGTTAGTATCGCTAATTCCTGAAAAGTAGGTACTGCTATCCTTTTTTGACAAAGGAGTAAACAGGTCCAGAAAAACGAAATGACTGGCTCAGGTTTCACACCTACTGGCAGAACCAGAATATAAGAACTTCAAAGAATGGGCCTTCTTCATTATGCCCGATAGCAAAAGGATTATACCATTATCCTCAACCTTAGGAAGAACCTGATTCCAAAAGCAGCTTGATTTCTAAAATATTAAGACGAGCATTGTTTGATTACCTACAATGTGCCTCTGAATAGGCTTAAAAAAAAGCAGATTTACGGAGGTTGTGTAAGGCTTTTTCCCCAACTTATCCTTTTTAATATTGATAACAGCCCCTGTGAGATGGGTTATCATCTTTCCAATTTTATTGATTAGAAAACCAAGGCTAAGGATAAAGAAATGGCCTAACCCCAGCCTGTAGGGTGTGGCAGAACTGGGATGCAAACTCCGGCCCAATCTGCAAATGTTTCCCTCTGCCTCTTGCCTACAAAGATAGTTAACACGTTTTATTAAAAAAAAAAAAAAGAAACATTTTATTCAGTATTACAGACGAAAAATGTTTTCATAATTTTCTCGGTTGCCAAGACTCATAGGAAGGGAACTTGGCGATCACTCAATGCCCAATCCCCTTATTTTACAAGTGAAGTTCAAAGTAGGCCCCTTCAAAGAAATGGAAGCTTCACTACCCTTTAGCGAGAAAAACTGCGTTTCCCTCTACGCCCATGTAACATTTTATACCAACCCCGGGCGGTCGCACACGACAGAAATTGGGGCTGGAGATATTCCTGCAGACCAGGCTCACATGTGATCTCCGTCAAACCTTTATGGATGGCTCCTCCCCAGCACGGCAATTACTCTCACTTCTCAGAGTAGGAAAATTGCGTTTGCATTGCTGTGCACCCATTTGCCAGAGTCTCGCCACTTGTACTATGCGCTTCACATTCGCCGTCTCATTTTCACCCAAACACACTCGCACTTCCCCTTACCGTGCAGGCTTGTAAAGACTCGGCTTATAGGCGGGGGGGAACCTTTCAATGAATCTGTCAGTCGCCTTTAGCTCAATCAAAAGCAATGGTGGCAAGTTTGTTAATGCAACAACACAATCACATAAATTTATAGAGAGGAGCCATTTTAGAAAGAAGGAAGAAAAAGGGCTTTGCCCAACAGTACACCACTAATGAAAAACCTGAGATTCGAGCCCACAAACGCCAGGCTCAAAAGCCCCCAGGTTCGCCTCAGACTGCCACCGCCGAAACCCCACAGTTCGCCGCCGTCGCGAACCGTGCGAATGCAGCAGTCGTCGCTCTCCCAAGTCGCACCAGGCCGCGGACCCCGGACCCGGACAGCGCTGGGACCACCGCCTCCCAGAGAGAGATGGCAGGCGCGGACTGCAGGCTCCAAGCACCGCCCGCCCCTTTCCGCTCCGCCCCGCCCCGAAGCGCTCGTGGGAACGCAGCGTCCTCCCGAAGGCTGCCCAGGACGACCGCCTGCGCATACCGGGAAAGACTTCCGCCGCCGCTGCCCCAGCCCCCTCCCCGCCGTCGCCATCTCCTCCCCGCCTCCGCCTCCCCGCCTCCGGGCGCACGCTGGGGCCGGCGCCCGGGGAGCGCGCCGCAATGTTTCTCTTTTCCGCCCGGCACCGCCGCGGCCACCTCACATCCGGGCGCGCAGTGGCGAAGGCGGTGCTGGGGCCCGGGTGCGTGGAGGGAGTTATTAAGGGGGAGGGGGCCTGGGAGGAGGGGCGGAGGGCTGGGCTGTGGTTACGGCGGCTGAAGAGAGACAGTCCAAACGGGTGGGGGGGCGAGAGCGAAGGCCTCGCGGAGCAGCCCTCGGACCGGCGCGGGCGGCGGGGAGGGGAGCGGCGGCCGAAGCAAAGGGCCGCCGAGCGGCGGAGGCACCGAGTAAGGGCCCGGCGGCAGCGGGAGCCGGGGCGCCTCGCGCCAAGGGCCGCAAGGAGGGCAGGAGCGCGGGCGCGCTGCTCCTGGGGTCGCGTGCGTGAGCGCGAGCGCCGGGGGGCGCGCGGGGGGCT